AAGCGTCTTAGCAGTGTATTTATGTGTAATTTATATGTTATATTGTATTTGTGAAATGAAAATGAATTTTGTTAATTTTGTTACTAACGTAATGAAACTCAAAAGGCGATGGTGGCTGCAGGTCAGGGTTGGGGGAGCAATGAAGGCTTGGAGGTTGTAGTTCTGGTATCACAGTTTTTGTACTGTTTCACAGTCTGCTGTTTCAGTTCAGAACCGCTGAGACAATCCTGTAAAATACAACATTATACACTGTTTGTGCCAGCCAGTTATTACGTTATAGATTGGTGACATCTGGCAGCCATATTAATTGTGAAACAAGGAAAGGACTAAGTAGAATGATGCATTGTACAGAGGACTTTCACTCAGAAGAACCAAGTTCAACTCCAGTATGTGGCTCGTGCTTTTCAAGATTTTTTGTTCCTAAACCCAACCACATAGTCTGTGTGGCAAAACAACAAAACCATGATGACTTTGTAACCGTAACATCATATTTATGACAGTTTCCAAGACAGCGGAGTTCCAGTACCTTGCTGCTAGCTGTGAGAAGAACAGGACAAACTGACCATATGGGTCATGCAGGTTGGAAGGCTCCTACCAAATGAATGCTAGAGGAAACACTGGAAAACTTTCTCTGACGGTGTCATCATGACGTCACTGACATCAATCAAAGTCAGGTTTCCCACTGAACTTTTAAAAGGACAGAGAGGAGCTGGACTGACTGTTCATTTCTAAAGCCACCCTGACTCCACCTGCTCATAGTGCATTCCTCTCACTGGCTGTGCCTGGCTATGACCAAATCCACCAACACCGGCGGTCACCAAAATTGCAAAAAAAAAAAATATGTTGGACACACCCATATGTGCCCTATCTGCAGTTGAGAACTGCATTTGCATCTGCACCCTATCTCAGGAAAATAGAGTCCTATTTGCTTTAGCGGTTGTTAATATTTCAGGTGGTAAACATGCTGAGTAGTATTTCCTGTCTTGTTGGAACAGGTTTTTGGCTTGGCTAACAGTACACAGTATAATAATCAGTTGCTCAGCCCTACGCCACCTCAGTTCTCTTATTAGTGTTTAAGTTCCAAGAGTCTGTCAGCTTGTCTCAGCATTATTTATACTGCATCCCCAGTCATTGTGCATCTGTCACTGACTTCTTTTCCTTAAACAACACTGGCACACTGGCCTACAACTGGTAATCTCTGTCCCTTTCTACACTCCTATAGTTCAGCCATCTGGTCAGGCATCACATCTTATCTCTGCCCCATAAACACCATTTAAACAACATAAAGAGTACCACACGCTCTACGGAACATACAGTATATCAAGGAGAAATACAACACCAACAAGTTGTTTCCTGGAAAATTCCCCACACTGCTGGACGTGTTGTTTAGTAACAGGGTGGGGTTGGCTCAATCAGAGTTCATTACAGTAGGCTGTAGAACTGGCACCATCTGCTCCTTTCTTACTGGAAGAAAACAGGCTGAGAAGTGCGTGCTTACTGTAGTTTAATATGCAAGCCGGTAATAGGATTAAGCAGATCCTTGTCTTGTCCGGCTGGATTAAAATACTGTGTGTGCTAAAGACCTGCGACGGGAAGGCATCAGCTCTACACGCCCCTCTCACACTGATTCTTATTTCATCATTTGAGAACAATTAAAACAATGACCGAGCTGAAAAGCAACTGACGTGCTGCTTGTGATGTGTGTAATGAGTGCACAGCTTTTAGTTTATTCTTTTTGTCTAGTAAGTTGCTCATTCCACTCATACATCTGACACACTGGCACTCAGCGAAATGTAGAAATTAATTTTCCTTTCTTAAGAGTTTTCTTTTTCTTGCTTAGTCTTTGGAATTTGAAACAGATTGTATTCTGACCTTTGGCAATGATAAGCACTATCAGCATTGTTGCTATGAGCTTGGCAATGCAATTCATCTATTATTAAAATATTTGTGTCATGAAAAAAAATGCAGAAACAAGACGCTAAATGAGATTATGAAGCGGGAGCAATATTAGATAATATGCTTGTCTAATTGAGATTTGGCTTGATTTTACTGCAGCTCAGAATGCATGACAGTTCAATTATCACACCATTAATATTTCAGTGGTCTGCAGCTTTAGCATGCTGAGGGAACTGGGTGTGGAGCTGGGCAGAGGAGTGACAGAGGAGGGTGAGGATGGTGGAATGAGGCAGATTTGGACTTGCTGCACTGATGAACTGAGGTGTGTGATCCCTGTGTTCTATATGAACTTATGACCCCACATGAGCTGTCCTCACCAGGGAGAGAGAGGGATACGCTACTTATGACCTGCAGCGACCCTACAGTCTTATGTAACTACATTCAGCAGAATGACCGTGTCACCTCGTGGCAGTGAGCGTCTTGGAACGTGTGCACAGAATGATGTAGTTCAATGAGAAAAGCGGGGGACACTTTAAAACCACTGCTTTTCATCTTGTCAGTAATGTGTATCCTTCTAAAAGGGTTTCACTTTTTCATGAACTGAGGAGCATGAAGGTTTTCTCCAGTCTCTAATTAGTTGCTCTATTGTGCGTCTGAAAGCAGATTCTTTGTTGCTTTGGATTATGACTTTAATACCAAGACTATTGCATAATTTACATGTATATGATTTGTGAAAACACAAACTGATCACAAGAGCATGTCACATGAGATGGTAATAAATCACTCACAATGGATGTGCACAAACAGATGCTATACAAGTCCTCACTTTGAACCTGGTAATATGTTTAAAGCATAAAAAGAAAAGGTTTCAAAACGTGCACTGCACCTGTCCGCATCACAGCTTAGCGCTTCCCCCCTTTTCCTCTGATCTGCTCTCTTTGAAGTCCCACAGAAGTGCCCCTTGCCCAGGACAATAATCACATTAGTGTGTGATCCTCACTGAGTAGCTGGCAGAGAGATGAATTCACAAGTCGGACTACAGGGAGTGGGATATTATTTTGTATGAACTAACACAGCGTGCTCCTCTCCACGTTCATTCACTTCGTCTGACTGATGCTGGCAATTTCCCCAGATGAAACTGTGCCTCAGCAAGACATGATCGATGGCCCTTATATCCTAAATCCTCACCTCCATCAGACCCCGAAGCAATTCATTTCTGCCAACAACCAAGACTTTCTGATGTCCCTACAGTATACACCTGCAGAAGCAAAACCACATTTTTACAGAAATACCTCTGCTGTTTCATCCATTTTTTAATCCCTTCAGGTGTCTAATATACGTACAGCAAAACCATCATGTCGGCCTGTAAAATGAGAGGTTCTCTGCTGACTGTAATTTGACATTTGAATTTCCTGTTCCATGCTAGATCTGAGCATCTGGATGGTGTTACTCTGGGTAAGCTGTTTGACACAGCTGTCAGATATGCGGCCCAGTTCCTGTGCCTCTCCATCACTTAATAGGGTCGAGCTGAGGTTGTGTTGAGACAAATCATATAGAATGAGCTCAAGACCAGACAGTCAAGATGCAAGATTTTAAAGTGTCACAAGGCTGATTTCTCAGTATTTATACTAAATTCTCGTGGTCTACAAACACACAAACAAAAAAACCCAATCACAATAAATCATTTATTCAGCCACTGAACCATTGAGTGTTCATTTAACCAGCAATAATTTAAATGGTTTTCAAATCACAAATGTCATCAAATTGCAACTTCTGAAATACTGCTCATCAAAGTTGCATTTGCCTGCTATGCTGTTAAAAATCTCTACATTTTAAAAGAAATTCCCTTCCACATTGATAATCAAGGTCTATTGTAGAAACCAGCTAAGGCAAAAGAGAGACAGAAAGCATTTTACTTTCAATTTTACATAATGTATCTTCATTCTTTTTTAACAAGGTATGCAAAGCACTGAACTTTTAATACTAACACTTTTCTAAATGAACATAATTTGGTTTAACTGCATTTACAGTAGCTACAATATATACGACACATTCTGTATTCTTGCTGTTGAATATTTTCCCTTGTACAATAGCCTATATTATATAGCCTATATTTTAGCACATTGACTCACAAATCACCAAGCAACAAGCTATTTATCTCATATTATAAAGTAATAAAGTACTCTATCTATCTCCAGTTGGAGGTCTACAGTAGTGGTAATGTTATCACCTTTACTGTTCCATGCTAATTTGATCTAAATTTGCTTGGCATGAGGAAGAATTCACTTAAGTGCATGTGAATACAGACTGTGTTTAATGAGTGCTCCACGTTTAATAAGTGGAGATTTAGCTGAATGAAGTTGAATGAATGAACTATGAGGCCAGAAAATGTGACTACAGCATCACCCAATTACCACATCATATAATTAAACCCTGCAACATCCCATGGAACAAAACATGATTTACACCAGTTAACTTGAGCAACTGGTGTGCAACTATATGGCTAATGTTGGTTACTGTAGGGCTGTAAATAATGATTATCTTCAGTGAATCAATTAGCAGTGTGAATGTTTTGATGTTTTTACTAGTGAAATATCAGAAAATAGTGAAAAACTGCCTATCACAAATTCCCCTAGCTCACCGAGAGGTTTTGAGATGCCTATTTTTGTCTGATCAGAAATCCAAAAGTCAGATGTATTCAGTTTCAAATAATAAAAGAATAAGAATAATTTTTATAACTTGTGAATTAATCATAGAGCTCGTTTGGCTGCAGCTCGGTCATTGAAAACTCTGAACATGGCCCTCCTTGGCCTTGTCTGATAAAAACAATTGCAAAATGTCGACAGGGAATAAAACATATTTTTATAATTCAAAAAAACAATTCTAGATGTTACATATACCAAACACTTTGCAAGACATTTTTTCAATAATTTCAAAATGTAAATCGTAAGCCACAGATTTTCCTTTTTGGTTTATGAGGAAGAAAATCTATTAAATATCTCCTGGAGTGTCTCCTGAATGTGAAAAGACCAAAACATGCTTAACCTAATTGTGCTGCAACCACTTTACAGGCATCCCCAGATACTACACTGTAGAATACTTACAAGATTTTACTTCATTCTCAGCTCTGGTTCCCATGAGAGGAGTAACAATTTCCTTTCCTGGTAATAACATCCAGAATCAAAAGAAACCATGTGATAGGTCAAATTAAATTTCTGCAGAAACCCAGAGTCCTGAGCCCGCTCTGTGTTGTGTCATACAGGCTGGAGACGCAAAGGAGCAGAGGCAACATAGTCACATATGTTACCAGAGCTTCTAGCCTGGCAAAGACGCTCATTTAGCCACTGACAATCACTCCCACAAAGCCCGATCTAAAGGCTATTCACCGGATCTGTACAAAGGAGAGTGGAGGAATGCAAGTCTCATCTCGTCCCCTGTTCAGTAACATGAAAGACATCTGCTGCACCTGAACGCTTGATGGAACGGGTTTATTTGCAATAATCAACTGACAAAAAAATATGAATGTACTGTATGCTTGGTGGGAGCACAGATCACCCACTGTGAAAAATCTGTTGAGCTTCAGTTTTGCCATAATCTTCTCCTCTCAGACAGTGACAATCTCCTTAATTGCTAATACTGCTGAAGATTACTGCTCAGCATTAGTCCAGTATTGTTAGAGCTTTTGAAGCATGCTGCTCTGTTTTATCTTTCTACTCTAAAAAGGGTATTTGGTTGAAAAACCACTGATTTTTAAAAAATATTTTTCTTGATTCAAGTGGAAATGAATGTCACATGCTGGTGAACAGCGCCCTAACTCCACGACTATAGAGACAGACTTGAGTGGAGGCTGGGTGACAGGTCAGGGGAAAGCTCAGTGCGCAGAGAATGCTGAGACTGTCGATAAGAGCCTTCTACCAGCCTGACTCAAAAACTGCGGTCTCTCTCCCAGGACGTATGAGGGGGAAGGGGGGAAGTGCCCCTAGTCTGGATGATGTATGGTGTGGACCCTAGCCTGAGACTTCGTTTGAACAGGAGAAAGGCAGAAAATGAAAGGGGGGAGGAGGGTCATGCTTGAATTATGCTGATGCGGTTCAGAACTTTGGGAAAGAAAAAAAAAAAAACCAAAGGCATGGCTGCTTGGAAGGAACTTGCATCCACAAAATAAGGTTATTATCACTTGGGCCTCACAAACGCTGACAGTTGGGAAATGGTGCAGGTGAGCCTGTACCCTTATATGACTGGACAGATATATTTAGCTTGTTATGGGTAATTTAAACACATTCATCTTTCTGGGAAATGGAACTGATTTCAACCTGTTATTACTAATCCCTGTCAGTGAATGGTCAGCCTTTTACGTTACACTGATATAAAGTATGTACACATGTAACTTCTCTGCTCAAATAGATTTGCAGAAGTGAATTTGAGTTCTCATTTTATGTAGCTTGAGGTTTTCTCTTAGCAAATTGGGTTTAAAAAGCAGACAGGGAGCATGCTGAAGGAAACGCTGACACTGGGGGCTGAGACTGGGAGCTGCAGGGGGGACAGTGGTCTTTTTCATAATGAGAGCAGTCAGCCAAAGTCAGTAACTGAGAACGCTCACACGCCTCTGTAGCACCAGCGCCAGGCCCTCAGAGCCCATAAGCACTCTTTGAGCTACAACAGGATGGAGCTGCCATTATAGCCACACAAACAGAGGGAAGCCTTATGAACTTTGCACAAATGCTTAGTGCTCCGGGGCTGGACAGCTCTGGAAGACGGGGGAGATGGGTAGGTACCGGGGCGGGCTGCCAGTTCCGAAAAGCTTAGTGTTGATGTTCTTGGGCCAGACAAACCTGACATTGTCCTGGTAACTGCCCCGGGGAAAGCCTCTTCCCCTTTCTCTCCGCCACTCCAGCTAATTCACACTTCCAGCCCTGTTGATTCACTGATTGAGACATGACTTATAGAGGCAAGAAGGCAAACATTTATTCACACTTTGAACCGATTGTGAAAATGCCATAAAGAAAGTGAGAGAGAAAGTGGAAGCAGATCGTGCCACTCAATAAATGCTCATAAGTTCAACTGGCTTACTGTCTGCTGTCACCCACGTTTCACCTTGTCACATGTCCCAGTCTGATGCGGTTTTGAGAATACGCTCTGACTTCACTTGGATAAGACACGCAGACATTCAGTTAAAAATGAAATCATCCACAGCACTCTCACGGAAAAAACTTACAACAGCTTTAATTGATGACACATATCTCCCTCCAGCAACGATGGTAAAAGTTATCTGACCACTGGAAGATGGAGGTCTGCAGCTGTACTGTGTCAGTGGAAGTAAAATAATGCTCTCTTGACCCGCTGCCGCCTTGGGTAAGTCAAGCTGAATGAGAGGAAAGCACAAACAACACCAAGCCCATCCAGAACTAATGCCATGTTGTTCCCCACTGCCTGAGTGGAGAGAAAGAAAAATGCAGGTGGTTGCACCAGCAGTTCACAGCCCCGCTGAAACTTCTAAATGTATCACTGTGTTTCCAGTGCATGTGCTCATGTGACACCCAAAAACGCCCGCCAGCCTGTCAGGTTGAGATAAATGTTGTAACGTTAAAGGAAAATTTTTAGAAATGAGTTAAGGTTGAGCCGTCAATATCCCTGAAGGACAGCCAGATTGCTGAGTAAGCACAAAGACCAGTTTACACTTTTCTCACCATTTGGCAAATATGCTGGCTACACACAGTGGGGAGCTTTTAATTGCACTTTGGGAACATAGCCTGTTTCACCAAAAAGTCGTCTGTTACTCAGTCTGTCAAAAACGGTCAGTAAGCCTCTAACCTGGCACTCACAGATAGAAGCAGGGCAACCTGCCTTTGGCTGATAACGTGCTTCGTTCTCTGCATTCTGAATCAATATGAAAACCAATGCACTTCTGTGTATGGGTTTCTTATAAGTTTCCATGGTAACAGGTGCCCCTATCTGCATAGTGATCACTTTGGCATTGATGGGAAGTTTCCCTGGGTCGATGCATTGTGGAGCTGTTTACTACAGCATGCTACAATATATGATGATGTGTTTATACATTTATTTCTGGTCACAGTTGTCTATCACAGACAAACTGCAACTCGGTTTGAACTCAACAACAACCTGAGCATTGTTACCAGAGATGTCACTGGTGCTGTTTATGAAATGAAAAACAGACAAAATTCCAGCAATGAAATTGCCCACATTTATGTGCATTTCCCCATTATCCATGGCACTTTAATAGTCCCCTCAATTATTTCCAGATCCTTTGTGACAGCCGATTTATTCTGCGCAGCACGCTACAAAGAACCTGTTCAAACAACACATATCTAAAAACGGATAAACCAAAAAACATCCGAGGTGAGCTGCACACATTCTGCAGTTTATCTGAACTATACAAAGTGTTTGATATTGTAATAGTGGTGTAGCATGAAAAGTGTCTGCAAGCCAAGTGTTAAGTGGTTCCAGGTCTTTTAAGTCAAGAAAAACAATTCGCTCATATAGTATGAAGGCAAAGCTGGGGGCATAGGAGACAGACTGTACCAGCCTCAGCCAGACTGTCGGCCATCAGAACATCACAGATGGTGCTCTCAGCGATCATGGCAGTGATCAGGGGATCTCTACTCCTGATTAGCACACCTACTGAACCCAATGTGCACAACAACGTCTGCTGTTCCATCTCTGGCTGCATAACACCTACAGAATATAGGCTTCACTGAAAGTAAGCAATGAACCCTCTGTATCTTATAAGGCTGTGCAAATCACTGTGTAAAATATTCTTGGTTAAATTCAAATGAATGAATATTTGCATGTCAGTAAAATCACAAGCTCAAAATGTTGTAAAAGTACAGTAAAATCATTTTAATCTGCAAGACTAATGCCATTAGTTAACATATTACAAATGTGTCAACCTATTTTGTGAAAAAAAAAGGAGGAGGAATTAATCCAACCACATGAAAGAGGAAATAGTAGACCAGACCCTGGACAAAAGCAGACTGTCCCTGTGCTTACCTATCTTCTCTGCTCATAGATAAGTTCAGATGAAGAGTCCACTTAGAACTCAGTTTAATCATGTTTCCCCTAAAATCAATAAGCTATTTCTCCCAGGTCACTTTTAGCAATGGAAAAGGCCTCTACTCCACAGCTATTTAAAGTGTGTGCACAGCTGAAAGAGAATACAGAGGCAAACATAAGCATGAAAATGAATTCATTAAGACAAATGCATTGTCTCATAGTAAAATGTGTAGGCATGGTAACCAGGCTTGGCTCTGCTTTGAGACGCTGGACACACAGCCTTCCAAATGAGTGGTGGGATTAGCATACACATACTGGCACCCACACACACTGTGCGCAAACATACACTCACATATGTACAGACTTGTTCACACAATTGCACATGCTAGCTTGAGTCAAATCCCACTCTCCGGAGTGGGTGGCTCAGTTGTAATTTAATGAAGAGGCCCTGCAGGCGGGAAGTTAAATGAGAAGATGATCATCTCCATCAGTAGCAGCCCACCTGTCAGAGAGAAAGAAAACACTCAAGGCACTAGCAACGTGTTCTCCTCAATATTATTATGCCAACAAGTAGGATTAATTATTTCCAGAAAACAGGCTTTTTTCCACCTATAGTCCTATGACAAGAGAAAGCACGGTGGATAATTTAGTTACACGCCCACTCATAATAAGCAGTAAGGATCTAATAGCCTTTTAGGGAGCATCCTGCTGGCCACCTCTTCACACACACACAACTCAAGGTCAGCCCTTTAGGAGCACTGAGGCAGAGCAGCCCGTCGCGCTACACAGTTAATCCTGCGGTGGAAAATGTCGGTAGGATCCGTCTCACATGGACGCACAGCAAGAGATGAGGAGGCCGACCAATATTTGAGATGAATTAAATGTGTGTGTGTGTGGAGGATTGGTGCTGTTGCGGGCGAGGCCTCCTGTGTGTGTGTGTCTTTACACAGACATGCTCATCAATAGGTTGGCTGAATAACCTTTTGAGCTTCATCTTCACAACCATTCAGTGACTACATAAAAAGGTCTGCTTCAGTGTGTGTGGGCTTAGAATATTGTCCAGATGTTGCCTCAACAACACTGGTAAATCCTTGTTTCTTAAATGTTTACCACTTAGGGGAAGCTCCTGTGCAACATCACCACACACTTCTTAGACGTCTTTTCTTTTGATAAAGGCAGTGGTGGGAACCTGGAGTTCCGTTATTCTCAGAACCTCTCTTGATAGCCAATTAGCCTAAGTCAGGTGTAGTAGCCCACAGGCACAATTCTGCAAAGGGCATTGGGAGCCGTTCTACCATGCAAATACTCCTTTTCACATCACTTGGTGGATTTGCCTATCAGTGTCTAGTTATATTTTTTTTCCTACATATGTTTCAGCAGCTCCAAGCACAGCACAGGAAACCTAGACT